GGGCAGACGCGGCAGAGGGGGCCCCAGCTGCGACGGGGCAGGGGGGGGCAAAATGGGATGGGGTAAGAAAGGAAAAGGGGGGGTAAGATGAGATGGGGCAATGGGGGTAATGGCAGAGGGGCCTGTGCAGCCCCAGCCTTGCTCTCCACAGGCACTTGGTGCTTTCCAGACCATGTTGGGGGCACACGGGGGGATTTGGTTCCACTACAGGGGATGATGGGGTGATGCTGACCTTCCCCCAATCACACAGCCAATGAGGATGCTGCAGTGGCCACTCACAGGCCCACTCACAGCAGTAACCAGGGACTCCTGGGCCAACATTGGTCCCTGGGGTGTCCCCGACTGCCACCCAAATTCCTGCTTCCTCAGCTTGGAGCAGGGAGATGTTCCTGGTTGCCTCCCCCTGCACAGACCCTCAGGGTGCTCAGCCCCTTGGGCACCACATGGGAGCCCCCCAGCTCTCTGAAGGGAGCACCAGGTGAGTAAGCAACCGAGGACACAGCCCCCGTGCCAGCACCAACCATATCACACTAGGGCCAAGGGACAGAGCCCAAGAAACTGGTGGCAACTGGTTGGGCAGGTGGCATGGGGCAGAGGCCACTGGGAGCATCGTGGAGGAGAGTGGGGAGATGGATGAGACAAAGCAGACACAGGTGGAGCAAAAAAAAGGTTTTTATTCTGCATTTCTCCCCACAGACGCGTGTCCTGCTCACCCCAGTGTGTGCATGGCTGCCCCCTGGGGACACAACACAGTCCCACACAACCAGAAAGGCCCCTGCCTGTCCTGTACAGGGAGTGCAGCAGGTCTAGGGGACAGAGCCGGAGCCTCCAGCCCCAGTGCTGCTCCACTGCAGGGCTGGGAAGGAGAGAGGAGCCAGCCCTGCACCCACACCTGCAGAAGGCACCTCTCCATGACCCAAAATCAAGGCTGGAGGGGCTGAGGGCAGAGCTGGGGCGCTGCAGGATCCCCAGGCTGCATGGGGACCATCCCCACAGGCTGGGGGTGTGGAGCTGGGCCCACCCCAGTGCTACCGGTGCCGGTGCTCCAGCAGCGCCTCAAAATCCGGGGAACAAACCAGCTTGTGCTTGACATGGCCCAGGACGATCATCTCGCCCGTGCGGTTGTCCCCAATGCCAACGGACACCAACTCCTGTTCCAGAGGAGAGAAACACCCATGAACAGCCCATTCCCACAGGAAACCCTTTAACCATGATAGGAGAGGGGCTGGGGGGGTCCCTGCCTGTGTGTGGGGAGGCTCAGCCTGGAGGAGATGCACCCCTCTGCTTCCTGCACCATGGGGACGAGAGCAGGACCCTTCCCCACCACTCCATCATTTAAGGGCCAGCACGACCCTGATCCTCCCAAATGATCACCCAAGGGGTCTCTGGGGGTGCAGTCCCCCAAATCAGGTCCCCAGCACCGCCCTCCCTCATCCCCATACCTGCAGAAAGGAGCAGGGGGTCCCCATGGTCACATCCAGGGTCACTTTGCCCAGCACCAGTTGCACCTTCCCCGATTTGCGGACCAGCAGCTTCCCCACCTGCCCCTCGGGGAGGTCGGCCAGGGTGCAGGTATTCTCCGCCTGCCTCGCCTCCTGCACAGGGACACCACAAAATTGGGGAAGGGAGGACACTGCCACGCTGTCCTCCTCCATCCCAGCCACCGAGCCCTTACCTGGCTCTTCTCCTGCTTCACCACCAGCACCTGCCCGTCCTCGTTCTGCAGCTCGGTCTTGATGGGTTTGGTGTCCTGGGTGGGGGGCTGGCCGGGCAGGGTGTCAGGCAGCTGCAGGAACAGCAGCTCCTCCTCGGCCGAGAGGCTCAGCCGCTGCAGCAGCTCGGCCACCGAGACGTCCCGGGGGAAACCAGGGGGTCCCTTGGTTTGGGGCGGTTTGGGTAGGGGGTCCTCATCGCACAGCTCTTCTTTCACTGGCACCAGTGAGAGGCAGCGGGTGGGCACGGGAAGGGGCGAAGCTCCCCCCAGTCCCTGCATTTTGGGATCCCCCCCACTCCAGCTCACCTTTCACCGCCGGCGGGTCCAGCTCCATCTTCTCCTCCTTGGGACCGGGCAGCCAGGGCTGGGCATCCTCCTGCTCTGTGGGCTCCTCCTTGAAGAGCCAGCCTGAGTGGGCCAGTGGGAGCTGCACCGGCTTGTTACGGATGTCGTTCTTCAGCCCCGGGTCGTCGAGGAACTGCGGGGACAGGAGAGGG